TCATTGTTTCGTTCAACGTTTTTAGTTGTTTGGCCATGTTGTCATAGTGTACATTCACATTTTGTGTAAATCTTTCCATATTATGAATACTTCGAAGATTTACCTGTTCAATGACGTCTTGCATGAGTTCTCCAAGTAATGCACGCATGGTTCGAGGACTCAACTCCGTCATTGGTTCGTAACGACTGTTACTGCTCTGGTTCTGTCCATCTGTTCATGGAGAGGCATGCTGCTCCTCATATCGCTCGATCACAGACTTGATTCCTCCCTGACTTGCTGCTTCCTTATCGGATCTTTGAGGCATATTGTTTCACTTTTTGTACTTTCAACACCAAACACCACCGTCCCACCGGGCGTGCCAAATTGTTTTCGCGCAGGTTAGTCGCTAACAATTAAAAAGGATCAGACGATTGTGTAAGGGACAAACCTCTTGAGACAAAGTCCCAAAAAGGGGTGTTCTTTTATTGGCGATGACTTTACAATTGGAAATGAAAAACAAAGTGCCTCCAAGGGGCGCAAGCACACGAGTTACTTGAAAGAAAAGTGTTTAAGTCTAAGCTAAGGAAATGAAAATTACATGTTCTCTGTTCAAAAGTTTTGGATTCGGTCCTTTACTTCTATGTCCTTTCTCTCTTTTATACTTCATGGACGATCTCTTTGTGATCAACCGCCCTAAAAATTGCTTGATCGTCCTATAACTGCCCACTTTCTTCGTAATGGCCAACTTGTCATGAAAACTGCCTTTTTTAACTGCTGCCATTACTCTTCATCGTTCAACCGCTTTCGATTGAATTCCTTGAATCGTGGAACGTGATGGGGCTGCTTTGATAACTGCACCACAACGCTTTATGATTGTTAAAACCTTGGGCGACCTGAAGGCTTGAGCAAGAATAGGGTAACAGCTCTGGGCGACTGCATGGCACTCCATTCGCTCAGATTCTAGGCGACTTGCAAACTTGGGCGATGGCGTTACTGCATTTTTGGGCCTCCTTATTTGGGCCTTCATCTTGAATTGTCTGATTGGGCTTCGTTCTTTGGGCTATCTGATTTGATGATTCTCCAATTGGGCTTCATTCCTTAGACCGTTCGATTTGAGCTGAATTTTTATGTGCCAACACATCCATTTCCCCTAAAATAAACTATCACTTGTTAAGGTTCCCATTTTTGTGTATAAATATCGATACATCGATTGAACTAGTGATTCATTAACTTGACCGAATCAATGTCTAGTTCAGCAGTTTGTATAACCATGAATAATAGTGTTACAAGATTTTAATTGATTGGGAATCAATTAATATCAGTAAGTCCATTTCTGAACTGGTCAAGGCCTACCTGACCCAGCAAAGAGAAAAGGCCTAGCCTTTAAGTTGAATCCCAATCAGTTAAAACATGGGCAATTTACAAAAATGCCCTTAAAATTAAGGGTCTTTTGAAAAATTATATGGAAAAAAATTTTGAAGTAAAAAATACGACATAATATAAAAAAGTGAACAATGTCACTTTTTTACAAAATTATGTCACTTTTTTTATTAATGTCACTTTTAAAAGTTAAGTGTTACTTTTTTATTAAAAAAAAAAAAGACATAAAATATCACTTTTATTTGTCACTAAAAAAAGTTATAGAAATCAAGAAGGTGACAAAGACTTAAAAAAAAGTGACAAAAAATTTTAAAAAATTGCACAAATTAAAAAAAAAAAAAAGTTACATAGATTAAAAAAGTGACAAATACTCAAAAAGTACCAAAACAAAGTGACAATTTTTTTTTTTTTTGAAAAAAAAAAAGCGACGAATCATAACCCACAATTTTCAATATAGCCAAATTATCCAATAAGTTCACAACGGATGAATGAATTAAAATTTTTGAACCGACAACTTAAGCAATATAATCATAATCCAAAAATTAAAATAAAACCAAGTTTTCAATAAGCTCATAACTAATGAAAATTGATGATTAAACTAAGATGTAAATGTCAAAAAATTGTATAAACACTCGTTGCTGTAAAAGTGACACACTATTCAAAAAAGTGAAGTAAATTCAAAAAGTAACAAAACTTCAAAAAGGATATATAATCAATTTGGTCCTACATTCTTGTCCATATTATTCATCTCAATTCCACCAGAAATCCGAAATCTAACAAATAATCAATCAGGTAATTAAACATTTGTTTTACTGCATTATAATACATTGATATTTTCAAAGCTGTTGAGTACTAACTAGAAATGCAAAACATGTAATGGATTATATATCCCTAATCGTTAACTTACGATTATCTGTTTCATGTGCATCTTGCAATAAAGATAATTAATTAATTTGTACTCTGTCAATAATTTGTATGCATGTTCCTCCTCTAGAAGATGTGTTGATGGTTGATGATCTAAAACCTAATCTGGTTACTGTAGGAAAAATTAGTGATGATGGTTTGATAGTAGCGTTTACAAAAACAAACTACCATCCTTTGATTGCTACCACTGACAGACAATCTCACACCTCTATCACCACAAATTCACTGCACATCGTCGACGTACCACCCAACACTCACCTGCCACCAAAAACTCTAAATACATTCTAGCTTGTCGACGATCTCTTTTCTCTAGCAAGCTGTTGAATCACATGAACTAAAGAAAGAAATTTAATTGTGACTCACGACACATTACTGGTATATCACCGACCACTTGCCGGCGATGTCTTTCCTCTAGCAAGCAGCTAAATCACATGAATGCATTCACACAAAATCATACAAAATCACGCAAGATAGAAGCAATAATTAACTTTTGCATGTGAAAAAAAATCACTATGTTCAAATGATGGAAGAAGTTGCTGATTGTGATTTGGGGTTTTTTGGGTTGATATTTAAAATATCCACGAATAGAAAAGGAGAAGATGAAAAAATGACGAAGAAGGGACACCGAGATGAAAGTAGTGAAAACGGACGAAGAAGAAACGACTGAAGCGGATGGAGATGGAGATGAAATCAGTGGAAAATAGACTATAGAAATAGAGTGTTTTGTGAGATAGGGTAAGGTTGTAGAATAACACTATTTGGGCTTCAGGTTGGGCCTCAAATTGAGGTTTTGGGGAGAGCGTATTAATTACGATTGTAGTATGTTTTAATTTGTTTTAAGGTATAAATCTAATTTGTCCATTTTTCAGAGTACCCAGACTAATTTCCTCTTAAAATATTGTATTATTCACGGTTATCAAAACTAGACATTGATCCGGCTAAGTTAATGGATCACTGCTTCAATCGAAGTATCGATCTTTATAAACAAATATTATTGAAATATAAATTAAAATTGTTGGAAATGAAATAAAAGTTCTAAATGAAGCACAAAAATAATTAATTTTTTCATATTATGAATTAAGCATTGATGTTTTAAAAATATTGCATATGGCGTTCGAATAAAAATAGATATTATATTTATTTAATTTTGATTAATACTTGAAATGTGTTCATATATAATATAGTTGGCATCAACTTATAACTTCAAAGTTACTTATTCTACCTACCCAAAATCTTTAGGTCCCGTTTCAGAGCGTTTATGAAACGTCAAAAAGCTACTTCTAAATGTATGAGTAATTTTTGAAAGTACTATCTGACTAAGATAGTTTCTTATGAAACTTTTCTACCTGAAATAGAACCCTTTCAAACGAACTCTTTAAGACAATGAAAATTTGTTTCTTTAGAGTTTGAGTTGATAGAAATGAGAATATAGTCAAGTCAAAATGAAATTTATTACAAATGTGAAGTGCTATTCAAAATAAAAGGTCAAGTGTCATTTTGTTTAACGGAGTTGGATGGCACATTGCCAGTTTATTTTTATCCTGTGCAATTTTTATGTACTGTTCAATTTATATATCAAAACCAAATTTCCAACCCACACGATCAACACATAGAAGTCATCTAACACATGAATTCCATATTTCAAACCAACCATTGAAATATGTAATGTACTAAAACTTAAAACTTTATGACTAAAACATCAACACACAGTTCCATATTTATTGAAATACAAACTACAATTTTCAACACAAAGATCCAGCACAAGTGTCTCCACTAATTTGCCCATTTTCATATCCATCAGCTTTGATCACTTTAACTTAGGGAGTTTTGAGGACGTTAATGAAGAAACCGATTGAATTGCGCTCCCCTTTCTTCACTACGTCTGCAATTCAACATTGACATATACAAAATGATACCTAGCTATGGAAAAAAATGAGATTTCTAGACAGATTTGTACATGTAATAAAAAATAAATGCACATTTGTAGACAGACTTGGTCAAATAAGAATGATTCACTTTGCATCTAGACAAAGGCAAAATAATAAAAGATTTCAAGGAGACAATTTTTCTCAACTTTTTGGCAACACCACCCAAATGTACAAAACGGAACCTAATTATAGATATTTTTTAAATAATGGGGCTCAAACAGAACCCATTATTTCTTATTAAATTTCTCTCTCCTATTTTTAACCACACAATTTTCAATAAAATAATATTACACGTAAATCAAAAACTTTTCTTTTCTTTTCAACCACTCATTTTTCAAAAAAATACTATTCAAAACATTATAATCTCCAAATAATGGGGTTCAAACGGGGGCTAAGTTTCCATCTTCTGAGGTGGAATAGACTTAAACAAAAGGTTGAACCCCCACCACCCTGCCCTTAAAGCATTGTGAGGATTAGAAATGAAAAAGGCAGAATTTAGGTCGAAGAACTTTTGACCAATTTTGTTAGTTAAGGGTTTATAAGACCTTTTTAACCATTTTAGAGGCCTTTAAACTTAAAACAAGAACTTCTTTCAACTTAAAACATTGTTAATTAGACTTCAGGTGCCCCAAACTTTATTATCAATGTGAAAAACTATTGCAGAAAAAGGGCATGCCGTGATTTTGACCCAGAACCGTATCCAAAAAAAATTATAATAAATTAATAATAATAATTCTGATGGGCATTAAACGCTTTCATGGTATAGTTGTTCATGGAAGCCATACCTTTTTATATCTTCCAAACTGGATCTACCTTAATGTGGGGAATGTGAGATATCTTGTCCCATTCGTCTCCAATCCTGTCTCCGTAAAGTAAAGCTAGATTGAAGGATCTCTCAATAGTCAAGTACTCCAGAGACGATAGGAGGCAATGTGGCAATGCCTTTAACTTGTCGCAATGATCAATTTCTAACTCTCTGAGACATGGCATTATTAAGAGATGGTCTTTTTCATCTCCAGTTATATCCTCCCACTTTTCCCAGTTTTCACAATAGGAAAAATGCAATTTCCTCAACTTCGGGAAAGCAGGTCCCGCATTCGGTAGTTCCTGGATAGTCTCGATTATCCCCAAGAATTCATTGCCCATGTCTTTCATGCTATCCATGAATGATATCACAAGCTCCTCAAGCATCGGCAGTTTTCCCAAAGGTGGCAAAGATGAGCAGTTCTCAAATGATTCAATTTCAAGCACCCTTAAATAGTTAAGGGACGTGGTGATCCATACTGGCAATTGGGTGCCTTTGTATGCAAACATTTGTAAATAATGTAGGTTTGGAGGTGGTTGAAGAGCCTCCATTATGTCCACCCTCAACTCTCCATGAAAAATGAATTCCAAGTTTTGAATGTGTACCTTATTTTTCAATTCTGCTTTCTCAGCGTCAACCAAGTCTTCTGACTCGCTCAAGTCTCCTAGAAAAAGTTTTAGAGATCCTCGAAGTTGGTTTAGATTTTTCAAATATCTCAACTTACTTGATCCTCTTCCTACTTTGAAATTGTTCAACGTCCAGAGACCGGTTAATCTCTCCAGCCCTTGAGGAATTGTCTTCATCCCCCTAATTGAAAAGAGAAGGTGTCGTAGATTTATTAGTTTATAGATCCCTTGAGGAAGTTCAGAGAGATCGCCTCATGCTCGGAGATCCAAAGTCTGCAATTATACAAATCACACAAGGTTTCTGGGAGCTTTCTTATAGGATTGAAGCTCAAGTCAAGATACCTCAAATGAATTAATTTTCCTATCTCTTGTGGAAGTTCTTGCAAACACAATCACTCGCAATAAGTACCCGAACACATTTTAAACGACTAAAGAGATTTAGAAGTAGGCCTTCTTGAGAAACATTTCTAGCACAAAAGGTGCGAACTTTTCCGATATCACAATTTGTAATATCTACTCCACCACACAAGATTAAGCAGCACTCATCTTTTGAGAGATAAGTAACGAAGTCATGCATTATATCATGCATTTTGCAAGAGATTTTACTTTCATCATATTTATCCTTCTCCAACTCTTGAAAGAAAGATCGCATTTCTAGGTTCTTAAACAACTCTAACCCCATCCTTTGCATGTGATCTACATTTCCACTCGAACCAAGATACCCATGTGCCATCCAAATCCTGATAAGCTCATCCAAACGTATCAAAGTATCTTTGGGATATATGACACAACTTGAGAAGCAACGCTTAAGTACCGGAGACAAATCATTGTAACTCAAATACAAATGGGAGAAAAGCTGAACTGTCGCTTCCTCCAACTGCCACAAAGGACTCTCTAGAACATTTAGCCACTCTCCTACAGTATCTTTCAAGCATAGCAGGCTTCCCATAGTTTTTGCAGCAAGTGGCAACCCCTTGCACTTCAGTGCAATCTTTTTACCAATATCTTCTAGTTTCTCACGCTCCTCCTCACTTCTTCTAACAAAAGCTATCTTACTCAATAATGACCAGCAGTCCTCTTCGGATAGTTGGCCCAATGGTATACATGTGTCCGTGCCTATCACTCTTACAACTTGATCGCTCCTTGTTGTCACCAAAATTCTACTTCCGGGGGCACCTTGGAGAGAGTTTTTAAGGGTTTCCCACCTCTCGCGGTCCTCAGTCCACACATCATCTAGGACGATAAGAAATCTTTTCTTTGAAACTGAGTTTTTCACACTTCGTAATAACATTTCCAATTTCGAGGCATTGGAGGAACCCTCCCCAACGGCTTCAAGAACTGATTTTGCAATCTTAGTCTCCTCAAAAGGATCTGAAACACAAATCCATGTTCTTAATTCAAAATGTTCCTCGACTTCAGGATCATTAAAGGCTAATTGAGCAAGAGTTGTTTTGCCAACCCCTCCCGTCCCTACTATCGAAACAATTTGGACTCCACTGCCCCACTCAGACAACAAATTTTGTATAAGGTTTTCTTTATCAATCACGCGACCATGTACACATGCAAAATCAACCAAAGAAGTCGATTCAATTCACTTAAATTCACTTGGAAGAAAACCAAACTCATCTTTCCCCTGAACAATAAAATCTAGTTTCCCGATCAAACCCCTTATCTTCAGATTAAATTCACGACGTTCAACAAAATGTTTGAAGCACAAATAAATAGGTTGAATGAACGAAATTGCCTTCCCCCAAGGATTAGAAACTTCATCAGATCCTTCAATTTGAAGTTGAAGATTCGCGGTTTGCCATTCATCCAATAAGTCATCCATTTCATGGGATACATCTTGGAGTTCTTTTAGCCAATTTTTGACCTTTGAATCAGTCACTCCAATTCTCTCTGCATCCTTCAGCACCTCCTGGATCTTCTTCAACTTCCCAGTAAGATTTTCAACTTCATTTTTAGATTCGAGGAGCAGACTTACCTCCTTCTCGATCAGAGGACCCAATCGCTCCACCAGTGCGAAAACAGCCATCACCGAATTTGATTGAACTAGCACAAAGCAAAAAACTTGTTAGAAAAACTCAGGGTCCGTTTGATTGTAACAATGAAATTGAATTGAATTGAAAATGAATTTCGAGAATTAAATTGATGGAAATTGATTTCATGAGAATTGTAAATTGTTGTGTTTGATTAATACAATTTTTCACGTAAAAAATGTTGAAATGAAAGTATTTTTTGGTATTCGTTTGATTTTATTTTACATGAAAATTGTCAATTAAAGGGATATAATTTACTGGTATTGGGGATGAAATTTTTTCCATTGCCAAAAAATAGAAAAAAAAATCAAGAAAATCATCTATTTTTTAATGTTCGTTTGACTTTGTTTTACATGAGGAAAATATTTTTTTACAATAATTCTTAGAATTTGTTTTCGTTACCAAAAAAAAATCGAAAAAAAATAAATAAAATGCTATAGTAACATGAAATTCCAATTCTCACCAAAATGGTGAGATTTGGTTTTCCTTAAAAATCAAGAAAAGATCAATTCCCAAGACAAACTAGAAAAGGTAATTCCATGAAAATAAAACTCTATCAAATATCATAAAGTTGGAAAATCTATTCCATTTTTCATGGAAAAAAATCACATATCAAACACTACCTTAGAGGAAACTGACGCACTGACTTCCTTTAAAAGCTCATCGACAAAACAACTCTTTCAGAAGTTAGTTTCAAACAGGTGACTGATAGGTTCCAGCAGGCTGCTGGAATGCTGTGATGGATCTACAGATGATGACTCTACTGCTGGAGGGCTTTTTCTCAGCTGCAACTATAGGTCTAATGGCTGTGATAGCTACTGCAGATCTGCTCAACCAGCCAGGAAGATTATATGTTGTTCAATACGACAGAGATTTAATGGATTGTAATGCTGTGAATACAGTGGCTGATTGATTTAATGGAAAGTGCAATTGTAAATTGGCTGGAATATTGTGCCTTTGTTTGAGTCATATTCTTTTGAAAAAATATATTTTTCAACAGTAATTTGACATTATTTTAACACACATTCTTCAATTAAATAATAGTACATGTAAATTTAAATTTTTTTCTTATGTTTTAATTACACATTTCTCATCAATATATTATTCAAAAATTCGTTCTTTTTCAAGAAATGTGATTGGACGCATTATATTTAGCCTCTGTTTGAGATTCGATTAATATGAGATACAAGTCATTTTCTGCTTTAGTGGGGCCATATATAATGAAGATGTCTGTCGGAAAGAGAAATGCACTATTGAATTGTTGACTCGTGTGTGTGTATTCATTTTCATTTTCTACTTTAGTGGGGCCATATATAATGAAGATGTCTGTCGGAAAAAGAAATGCACTATTGAATTGTGGATTGAATTATTTGTACACAAAGATTTACACAATCTTTTACACACACAATATGTGGCAGCTCCCCACCAGCCGCCCCTTCAATAGGGAGCCGCCACATATTGTGTGTGTAAAAGATTGTGTAAATCATTAGGTGAATGTAGCATGATCCTTGAATTGTTGACTCGTGTGTGTGTATGTATATATATATGTCGTGTTAAAAATTTTACTTTCCCAAACACCCTTGAATGAAATGATGACAATAAAATGACGAGGGTACAATTGACCAAATGATTTTCAAGGGCCTCTAACACCACCAGCCACCCCTCCAATAGGGGGCCGCCATGTGTTGTATGTGTAAAAAATTATGTAAATCATTAGGTGAATGTAGCATGGTCCTTGAATTGTTGACTCGTGTGTGTGTGTATATATATATGTCATGTTAAAAATTTTACTTTCCCAAACACCCTTGAATGAAATGATGACAATAAAATGACGAGGGTACAATTGATCAAATGATTTTCAAGGGCCTATAACAATTCTTTTCACAAGATACTTTTTACCATTAAATTACTTTGCTAGAATTATTTTCACATAATGATTGACATTCTTTCACGGAGCGTGAACTCCATGTAAATAAAAAAGTCCAAAAAATAAGTGGACCCCCTCCCATTGTGAGTGTTGACCATCCATTATGTCAACAAAAACCATAGCATTGTTGTATTTTTTAACATTCAAAACGTTATTTATTTACTATCGAGCCCTTATTTGATACTCATTTTTCTTAAGATACATTTTTTTCTTTCTTCTTTTCAATTACACATTTTTTAATAAAATAATGTTACACGTAAATCCAAAAAAAAATTCTTATTTTTTAACCATATATTCTTCATCAATCAATTAATTCAAAATGCATTCTTACCATAAAATGGAAACAAACAAACTTTGAAAATGAAAATGAAACATGAGCTTAGCTCCCGTTTGACTCTCATTAAATTAAATTTTATTTTTCTCTTTTCTATTTTCAATCACACAATATTTCATAAAATAATATTACACGTAAATCGAAAATTTTTCCTTTTTTTTCCAATCATTCACTCTTTTAAAAAATACTATTCCATATATTTTGATTTAAAAAATGAGGCTAAACGGGGGCTAATTATGTTGGCTATATTTTCCAAATTCTTTTTTGGGTGGGAGGGGGGATATGAAAATGATCATCAAACTTTCAAGTACTCTGGCATAGTGGCACGTAAATACCTTTTTATCCTGCAATAAATGTTTCAAATCTAGCTAAATAGCAATGCAATAAAACCATTCGTACTTGTGATTTACATTGATGATATTGCACCTTAGTTTAGTTTAGATTACAAATAAATTTTTGGTAAATTTCAATAAAAGTTAATATAATGCATGGTCGAAAAATTGATAAGAATTTTGAATCTTATAAAATGTGTATTTTAAAATGAATTAGCAGAAAAATAAATTTTAAAAAAGGGGTCAAATATGCATACACGATTCTTAAACGTGAGGGGAAAAGTTGCACTTGTATTGTATGTGACAAGTGTTGATGGCAATAATAATTTATTATTAAATACATGATTTTAGATATATGCATCCTTCATCCATCTTAAATCCCAAACTGCAATGCAACATACTAATGTATCTATTTCATAATGATGCTTGAAACATATTTGGTGATACTGATTATTTTATTAATAAATATTTAAATAGGTGAGCGTACAAGAATGTGCATCATAAATAAGTCTTCAACGCCAAAAATGCTGCCATAAAACTAATGTATAATGTTCGAAAGGATACTTAATAATTATAAGCGAGCTAATGATATATACCAATCATTTATTATTAAACATACGAGTTTTCGACACGTATGTAAAAAGATGCATCCTTGACTAGTCCTAAAAATAAAGTCTTATAACGATGTTGACATTAGATACACAAACCTGTAACACATATTGACATCATTTATCATCAAGAATGTAGACATTTTTTAACATTAAGCCCCCGTTTGGCACATTCTTGTTTGTTGCCCATTTTGCCCATTTGTTATTTTTTATTTTTTTTAAATCTACTGTTATTTGTTCACTCCACTGACATTGCACATAATATGTTACCGCACACAAACAACTTTTTACACCCAATTTCTTTACTACCATCTACAGTGAGCAAAAATTACGGGAGATGAAAAAGTCAAAAAGGGTGAGTTGTTAAAGGCAAATGGGGGTATTTGGGGAAAGTTAAAAATTGCACTGATCAATTCAAAATGCATGTCAGTACGTGGAATCTTTTGTTGATAGGAAGAATGCATTTTTTTGGGTGAAAACATAATGTAATGGCCTTTTTTTTTCTTAATCTCATTATTTTACAGCAAAAGAATTAATAAAAAAAAATACAAAAATTGAGTTGCTTTGTCTGTCTTCAATTTCCCATTATTGTACCGTTGGAAATACATTGGATAAAATTACCCCTTACAATTGATGCAATAAACCACAAGAACGTATCAATGGCAGTTTGGGAAATTGAGGTGAAACATTCATTGAAAACCCCATAACAAATGTCAGAATGCAACAATATATACAAGCGCGAAGACCATCAATTCTAAAAATGAGAAGAGAGAATGGGCAAATAATGGGGGGCCAAACGGGGGCATTGTTGAAAAATAAGAATCAGACAGGGACTTAATTTGCCAAATTTTCTAGGACCCAACGTCTGAAAAAATATGGGGTCAATGATTGTATATTTTAATTCTCAGAACACATTTTGATATCTCTGCGTTAACTATGATATCACTACTTCTCTTAGAGGTTGTTTGGTGGAGATTAAAATTAGATTTTTTTAGTAGATTGTGATAGAAGTTTTTAAATGTGTGATTGAAAAGTGAGGGGCTCTCTATTGAAAAGTAAGGTAATCTAACCATTTTGTAATTGATACTCGTACCTCCGCGAAAAATTTAAGCTAATTACTTATCTTCACTCAATACTTGGAAGTTCTCTATGGCGTGAAATGAAATCCTTATCCAACTTTGAAAAAGAATTTGGCTTCGATTTATGTGTTGGGCGCTGAAGCTCCAATACCACTTGTTGATCCCAAATCGGATTGTAAATAATGAGATTTAATGACAATATTGAAGTAAACAAAATCACACCAAGAAAATAAGATTTAAAGTAAAGAAGAATTAAACTCAAAGGATGATATTTATTATTGAACAATATGGAAAAAAACAAGTACAACTTAGCAAAATTACTTCCTCACAAAACTGATAAAGGAGCCTTATATTTATAGAGAAAAATCCATCCCTAGAAGTAGAGTTGTAGATGAAATGAAATGCCTAAAAGTTTCTTTATTTGAACTCTTCAAGTCTAACTCAAATTTCAACTCCCAATGAACTTCAAAATAGAACTTTAAATAGAATTTGACAATTAAATTTGAATAAGATTCATCAAAACATTCCAATTATAATTCCTCTTGATGTGAACTTCAATTAGAATTATACAATTATTTCAATAAAAGAATTCGAGTCACTCCAAAATTCTAACATTTTGATCATGGATAAATGACTAGACAGGGTTGAGGTTCTTAAATATCCAATGTAGCAACCAATATTTTAAAATAACTGGGACTCTCTGTTTAATACGAACT